ACACGAGTCTTTAGGATCGGTATGCGGGAAGGGGTTGAAATCCCTGGATTTTTTCCTTCCCTGGCTGAAGCCCTTGTGACTACAGAGTACGGTATTCTAGTGGCTTTTTTAAGGCTGCTTTCGACAACCATATTAACAATCACTATAAATTATGCTATATACGTCTAAGAGAGCAACAGTTTCTATCCAAAAGAGCAAGAATAAGACTGAAAAAGTATAAGGCAAGGAAAAGAAAAGGTTTTCGACTTTACCTAGTACTTTCTGGATGATCGGCTTCACGGCAATCACGTGGTAGACCAACAAGTCTTGTTTCTCTGAACGAGTGAGGAAGATGCTGCTACAAAAGTAGCACCTGAAGCTTTGGCAGTAGTTCGAGACAGCTGGACTTACCACACAGAGATTTACTATGTAAGTAATGGTTGAATTAAATTCACCGGCTAGGAAGATCAGGTTTCCCAAACGGATAATTCACAGAATTGGTATTTTCCGTTTGGAGAGGAAAAAGCACGTCGTATTCAAGGAGCGCGCGCGACCTTATACTTTGCCCTAAAATTCATATCACGGTTTCATTCGAAGACTCTACCACAATATAGAAGAGTATGTGATCTTTGCACAGGTACTGTCGACTACCAGAGAAAGGTTCCAGATATCACGAGGTGCAGCGGTGAGAGAGGTCATCGGAGGTTGTACGCAGCGGTGAGAGATGTCATCGGAGGTTGTGTGCAGCGCAGCAGGGGGAGTGATAGGTCAGAGTGCCAGCTGACGGCACCCATGTCGACGACTTGATTTGGGATAAACAACTTCGATTTCTCTGAAGTAGGTGTCGACTATTTCGAACCGATGGAGGTGACGCCAGGTAGAAGACGTGTAAGTCGGCTAGGTGGCATTTTCATGTGTCTCAACTTACGAGTTGTACCTCTATATTTTGATCACGATTTCCCCTCAGATTCCATTAGAATGGCGCCAGTGAGGTTTATTCGTGGGAGTCGGTTACCTGAGGATTTGTTTAGTGACGATGGGACCAATTTATTTGGGACGAAATAAGAACTAGTTATGTGCGTAAGAAATTTAAAACAGGATGGAACACATAGCGCTTCAGTGAGTAGAGGTGTAGACTGACACTCCAAACCACCGGCTGCAAACCATACGGAAGCTGTTTGAGGACGCACAATTTGCGTTGTGCCTGGGATCACAGGTAGACTGGCTAATGAACAACCCTCGACTGGTGAAAGCCTTGTGACTTTGTTGACAGCAGCTGAACAAGTCATAAGTGGGAGACCTCTGGTTCCTTTCACCTCGGGCATCAAAGACTTCTAGGTGTTAACACCTGCTAAACTCCCATTACTAAGAGACAACTCGTTAAGTATTGGTGTAGCTCATCTTAGTGATAAGTTCTCCAGAAGGTGCAGACAAGCCAACTGTTTAGCAGATGTGTCGTGGAAACGTTGGTTTAAGGAATACGTCTGCTTATCACAAGAACGGCACAAATGGATGGTCACAAGCGCGAACTTGAAGGCTGGAGACCTAATTATCATAGTCTCAGACTTTACTAGTAGGAATCAATGGTCTCTGGTGCTGTTGCAACTGGTGCTGTATATTTACCATAGTTTAGTTGGGAAGTGGAGGCGAAGACGGCTGAGGGAGTACTGGTCGGGATGCTGGTAAAGTTTGTCTTTTGGTAGCCAGTGATAATAGGGCTCGTCAGGGCGGTACCTAAGCTCACGGGTGTAAGTCCTAGATACCGAAAATAAATAGCTAGATTGGGGCGTCGCCAGACATACTGGTGTAATTCCTGGTAAGCAAGGACTGGGTGTGATTGTTAAGCGCTGTTTGCTCGTGTGTTTTGCGAGCGTTGTATGCATATGTGTGGACAGTTTATGTGGTTCGTTAGTGAATTTCTTCTCATTCTTCTATTTGTTAAGATTTTAGTGCGAGTGGAGATCACTGTGTAATCATTTCCCTCAACGACTGAATATGTGGTGTTGTTGAATTTTGGGGAAAGAAATTAACGTTCTTTCTAAAGGATTGTTGAGTGTATTGATGCACCTTTAAACGACTAAGTTGGGACTTGTCTTCCATTTTCCATTTTGCGTTAATTAGCCCACTTGTGGCTCAATGGACAGCTTTCCTTTTTCGTTTGAGTGCACATTTCTGTTAACCGTGAGCCACTGTGGGTTCAGCCATTGTGCTGTTGGTACTTGGACGTCAGATAACCGTATACTTGAAGGCTTGTACCACGTTTGTCTAACACATTTGGTAAATGGAACAATAAGCCTTGCAGTTCTTCACCAGTTTGCTGCCGATATAATTATATTTGGAATAATTTGGTATGGTTTTTAATTTGATCGAACACTGGAGGTCTGTATCTTCAGGGGGTTATTCGTACAGTGACTATAACTCTGCAATTCGCCTGTATGCCATACTAGGCTGTCGAAAATGAGGTGTAGTCTAACTAGTGTCACTTTATCGTTTTTCGGCAAAATAAGTGGCTGCTTTTGAGCTATCTGCCTGAAGGTTTGAGTGTTAGGTCTGATTTTGCCGGCGAGAATTTCGGCTTTGTTCGACTAAGTGCTTTTTAGTTGTTTTTTGTGTATGTTAGATCTGTCGTTGGAGGTCATTTCTCATTTTTGCAACCACTTCCTTTTTTGTTAACAGCACAGATTACACGACATCGATTGGCGGCTTTGTGCTATTGAAATATGATTTTCGGATGTGAAGTTTGGTAAATAATACAGAGTAACTCAGTGAGTTTTTCATAACCACATTAACTGAAATCCTTTAGTTCGTTTCTGTCTTGAGACAAAAATGCTTTAATTTGAATGTTTGGACTTGTGACTGCTCGGGGATTTACGAAATTGTTACCGGAAAAATCTTTTCTCTTCTACATCAAAACGGAAAATTCAGCTTTAGAGTTGTTTGCGTGTGTCCCATCAAATTTTCGTCCTAAGAATTATTACAGACGCTCTTTGAAACAGCTGTTGAATTGGGTAATGCCTATGTCAGCCAATTCACAAAAGCTGTCAATGTCTAGCTCTTACTACGCTGGACCACACGCTGTCCCTCGAAGACTTTCAGAAACGTTTCATATTAACCAACGCGAAAACCAGAACACTGATTGGCGACTCAAAAATCCTTCATTCTTACGCCGACATGTACCAACGATAAGGTTATTACACAAGGTCAAAGAATAAATGTTATAACAATAAATCACGATAATACTTCTGATAGGTTTTTATCTTCCTTTGAACAGCAAACGATGAGGCGATGACTGTTAGGTTGATGACTTCCGCGAAAAATATGGAGGAGTTGGGTTTGAGCGAAGATTTATGAATGCATGTAAAGGACAGCAATGATTCAGAATACTCATCGACTGAAATGGAATATTGAGTAAGCCTAAAAGGAAACTAATAACGTGAGGTAAATGAGGGATCCTACGGAAACAGACTGTGACATATGCTTATTTCAAAATTAGAAGCAGGAGAAGGCAATGGTCAGTGGCTGGTGGTAAGATATTAACACAGGATGCAATTCAGAGGGCCACTTCAAGAAGGCTTTATCTGACAAGGTTCAACATTTTCCCCGAGGCTCTGCTGTCATGCAAAATTAATACAGTTCCTGTTCCAGGTACTTCAAGAGGAAATTTACTTGCATGATGTAGGCAACAGAGAGGCTGAGGCGTTCCTTCGCCCCATAAACGCATAGAGCTTTCCTTACCATCATTTACCTTTTCGGATGGAGTATCATCCTGGTTATTGATATTTTCATCAGGCAATTTCCTGGACAATATTGCTTCGACTTTTCTTCAGTTTCCTGTGATTTAGAAAGCGGAATTATGTGTTTAAAGCCGCGAATTTTCAAGGAATATTCTTCTTTCGTCATGAGAATAAAAATTAAAACGTTTAATCTTTGTTGTCACCACTTCTTCAAGTCAATGTGCAGTAGGATACTTTATTCATTCCTTAACCTTCAGAGTGAATTGTAGGGTTTCAAGCTCAAGCATGAAATTTTAAGTAGGTGGCTTATTTTTTTAACAGGCGGTGGGTTTGTAGGCCCTACATTATTCCGACCTTCCTCCTTCTCCGGACCGTCTACAGATTGGGTGGGTTTCGAGTGTCTGTACTTCAACCAGGAATCTAGCTGCAACCTAATTAGCAGTCTATCGGAGTGACAACTCAGTAGTTTCAGCGTCAGTACCCAAAGGTGTTGTACCGGCTGAGCGAGCTTCAGTGATGGGATGTTTCGTCGTTTTCAGAATTCTATCAGCCGATTTAGGAGACTCTATGAAGTGTCATGTGTGTAGTCTGCGATACCAGTAGAATCCAAGACACAAAAAGCTGTTTTAATAATCCCACTATATAGGTAGGTAGTGAGAAGTCGTGACCGTTGGAGGATAGCAGGTTGGTTGTGAGGACAGATACTCGTGAGCAACATTGGATAGATCATGAATTGGCAGAAACCACGGCCATTGGATCTTGGCCCAGTGGCCCGAAATTCTGCGAACTCGCCTCGTGATTCGGAGTTCCTGGGGTCGAGCCTCGGTGAAAGTGCACTGCCGATGAGTCCCAAACTAGCACGAAACAGCTGTTTAGTACTCTCAGGCTTTCCAGTGGTTCTCTAACTAATATTAGTTCATGATGAAGTTCTGAAACCAATCAAATCCCTGCAAATCAACAATTGAAGATCCCCCATCCAATTCTTATTGGCCTATGAATTCACTTACTCATGAAAGCATGTGTACAGTCGAAACGTCTCCGGATTCTGAACTACATAGGACTTCGTCAGGGCGTTATTGATGTGAGAAATCGTTTCTTTTAGTGGCAATCTTAGTCAGTCGCGCAAGTCTATTCTAGGGTATTTGGCCACATGCCAAAAAATGATTTATTTAAAAAAGTATTAAAGATATATGAAATGAACAAATGCAAAATAAAACTAACTCAGCTAGATAGAGTGCATTATGTTTACAGACTCACTAGCTTAGAAGATGAATGGTGACAATCAGTATGCATGGGACGCTACGTATGTATCCTTCAACCTCCAAGGTGTTCTTAATTATATCACAGTCAAAACCAAAATCACAAATCGATAGTTCAGAATGCGGGGAATATTTCGGGATCAGAAGTCTTGAGCTATCAGAACTCAGTGATGAATTTAGTATACTAGTTATTTCGAAGAATTATTCACGGAAGTATTCTGTAGGTTTCATCTTAGTCCCCTTAGTACAGCTTCTAGTGAGTTCTCAGTCGATGTTGGAAACCACACATTCTCTCAGTAATAAGCTACTTGAGTAGACATGTTTAGCTGGAGTCCACCAATTGCTTGAAAGCGATCCATATCAAGAATGAGTGAATCCGAGAAATTATAACGCTTATATAAGCTTGTTAAAAAGGATATTAGATAATGGAAAGTGAAGAAATCTGTTGCTACTAATCTCGAATGTTGGCAGGAATTATGTGATGGCAGCAGCGTTTTCGTTCAAGTGAAGACTCCATCCAACACCAGTTACAATTCTTTGAAGTGTTTAAACTTTGTCCTGAAATCAGGTGCCCGTTCTTTTACTACACTGGTTGAGGCGCTTTACTCAGCTTGACCAATGAGAGTTAAGATCGCTAAGTACATCTTCTGAAGGTCATTTGGTGTTCTGGATGCATTGTCTTCCTCAGTTTTCCAGAAAGCAGCTATCCACTTAGTACTGATTATTGTTGAAGTTAGAAGCAGTTAGGTGAGGCATCTACTTAAGTTCTCTGAGATTGTATTTCAGTTGGCTTTTCTCTCTCTACCTAATCAGCATTGGGCTTGAGGGGTATTTCGCCAACATGGACAGTTGACTGACTGTTGTTAGAACTGTCGAGGAGTGAAGGCTTTTAATACCTCTTGTATCACCGTCAAGTGTGTTAGCGACATAGGGTGTTTTTAAATTGAATACATTTCACTTTAGTTCTCAGCTCCTCAAAATACGCTGAATGTTGTCACTGAAAGACAGCATCTATTGTAACCCTTTTTATTTATGCAGGTATTTGAATTGAGTCTATGCAGGCCTTCTTATGATAAATCGTGATTTCGGGGCTAATGCCTTGACCATTTAGGTCACAGCTGGTGTTAGGCAACAATAGTTGGAGTTTTCTTTCTCCTTACATTGTTAGTTTGACATGATTCTTAACCTGGTTGCTTTCATGGGGTGGAAAATTCGAGACGAATCAGTTCCTTTTCATAGGTGAACGTGCTTTTACAAAACCCTTATAGTCGTAGGTAGTTGCAACGTTGATGGCTCAATAGTACACTGGGCTCACGCACTTACTCTCTAAGATATAACGGTCGTAGTGAGCACTTTTAGGTAAAGTATGTTGATTCTATGTTATGAGTATAATGTAAAGTTTATTTGAAATGGCACTTAGCAGTAGACTTCATCTACAGTAACCATACGTCATATTTGCTAATGTATGTTTCTTGTTAGTGGTCGTAACTGAAGCAATATGAGGCTGTTTGCATTTACTTCACAACGTTGAACATATCACTCCACATCAAAAGTAATATGAACTGACTTAGATATCGGTATTTTCAATAACAATCCAAATCATTGTCTGAGTATTAGATTAGCACTCAAGGATTTATCCTGTGAAGTTCTTCGTAGACTCTGTAATTATTCCCAATATTTTACGAAAAGTGTGGATCTGTCACTTACCTTCTGCTAGACAGATCACTGTATCTTTTACTTTAATTCAGAAACTTAGGTTAAAAATTTGCAAGTGTATAACTTATGTACGCAGCTTTGAAGACGAGTAATCCGTAACAGATGACTTATAAGTTGTGGTGAACCCGGCCTTGTGTGGGGTGAATAAGTGTGATTACGTCAAGAATGAAATGGAGTATCAATGTGGAATGCCAGTGCTAGTTTTAAGTGTCGTGATTTTTGGAAATGTAACATAAGCCGTGGGAAATCGGTTGTTTTTATGATTGTAAAATTTGAATAGATCCCATATTGTTTTCCGGTTATCTAAATTGATAACCTTTCTGTTTAAGAGAGGAAAACTTGCATAGTTTTGCTTTGTTGAATAAATGCACATAACTGTAGGTAGGCTCTTATCACCACTATGTGTAAGCCACAATCTTATGATTTAGGCAACAGTTACAAGAAAACTGCGTTTACTTTTACGGGGCTAATTGTATGTGGCTGTAGTTTTTTTTGTAGTCAGGTGCATCAGTAATCATGTGTCAGCAGACTAATGTTTCTATTTATTTGTGTATGTAAAGACTACACGTCAAGTATCATTTCTAAAAAGAATGCGTAGTTTTGTGCGAGTGGATTCCCCTCAAAAATCTATAATCTGTTCTGATATGTCGTGAGTTTTATCGTTGTAGTAAACTTTATTGGGAAGTTGAGGTAGAAATCACTTTTTGTAGGTATTTTGTGCGCTACAACTATCAAAACTTTCTAATTTGTAGGTGTATGTCTGTGTTAATACGATAGCTAGGACCAACAAGTGCATTGTGCATCACAGTTCAACTATCGGGCAATGATTGCTGTTTGTTTTAGATACAGTGTTGTCACCCTTCCCTGGACAAAAGTAATAAAACATTACAACTCAGCTGTGACAAGACAATAGCTGAAATGCTTTTATATATACCTTCAAATTATCATGTTTTGTTTTGTAGCTGTCAGTATTATTTCCCTTGGAGGATTTCATTTTATTGTTTGACTAAGTGTATTACGTTGGTGCAATTAGAGAATTCTAATTTACACAGAATATGGATTAAATATTTAATAAAACTATCTCAAGCCATATCTTAATATCTCTAAAGTAAAGACTGTCAAAGGAGACTGTGCTAAAACCAGTTATATTAAATAAGTTATTTTGCTGCGCATACTGAGCTATCGCCTTGTCGACGAGCAAAGTTAGCTGACATAGGAAAAAGAGTAAGAAAAGGGTAAGAGGTGATCAAACTGAAACCTAAAATCAGTCCATGAAGTTTTTGACAGTTAGTTTGGGTCACATAGAGGGGCGTCGGTTGTCTAGTTGAGGATCTCGAAGAGGGACGTGTGTACTGCTCAGCAGTTCGCTCCGTCCTTCTCTATGGCTCTGAAACATGGCCAATACAAGTTGAAGACATGAAAAGGTTGACTGCTTTCGATCACAGATGTCTGCGATCTCTGTCTCACGTTAGGTGGTATAATAAGGTAAGTAATGCTGACGTTAGGCGTAGAGTGTTTGGCAAAGAGGGAAAATCAATCGACGAGGCTATAAAGTTACATAGATTGATATGGCTAGGTAACGTGCTGTGCATGCCTAACCATCGCCTCCCCCGACGACGGGCATTACTAGCTGATATAGGTGCAGGTTGGAAAAGAGCCAGTGGTGGCCAAACAAAAACATGGCATCAGTCCATGAAATCCTTGACAGTTAAACTGAGTCAGGTAGGGAGATGCAGACTTCCGGGTTGGGGCCCTCGGGACTCTAGGAATCAATGGCTGGAGACAATAGGTGAAATGGCTCAAACTCATCGTTGTCAATGGCGCAGATGTATTCAGTCTCTGTAACCTTTCATATTCCTTTCTACCATTACCCACTCTGTTTCACTCTTATACTTGTCAGACTGTATTGATTCTCTTCACTCATCTTCTTGTCTACCTTTGTGTGCTATTTTGAACGTGGCAACTCGAACTGCTGCACTTCGGTGCCAAGTTCTATGTTGAATCCAGACAGACACATTGGGGATGTTGCTCGAAATTGTTCTTAGTGACGCAGATGTATTTACTCTTTGTAACCTCCCACGTCCATCAGACCTCAATATTTTTCCATGCTACGATTCTTCCTCCTGTATATTCCTACTGATTGTGTATTTGTTTGTGAATCTTTTCTGTCGTTTTTCTACCTTTGTGTGCTGCATTGAATGTGGCGAGTCAAAGTTCTGTGTTAGAACGAGTCAGTCAGCCAGTCTTCAACCAAAGACTCAAACACGACAGGGTAATCCGCTTGGCTACTAAATCATGAGAGCCAACTACTGTGCTGAATTGAAGATGGATTTTCAACGGGGAAGTTGACTCCCTCTTGAGATATCTGTAATAGAAAGAGCATTAGCATTACGCAACTGCAGGATCAAGGGGATAAGTTCTTAACCAGTCAAACACATGGCCTGTCCGGAGTTGTTCTAAGTTCTGTGTTTAAACTGAGTCATGTCGTATACTGATTTTAATTTATATCTTCTCGTCTTATGGTACAAGTGTTACTGTAGGGAAAATGGTATAATCTTCAGTATAATCCCTTTCTTCATATTGTTTATCGCTAATACACGTAGGTAACTCAATAAGTTTTTTGTTTTGTAGGTTTCCAATACCAGAGTTCAACACTTTTTGGAGAGCAGGGTTCAGTCCCAAGCAGGTATGCCCTTCTAAAGATCTTGATTTGTTTTATGCTATCACTTATAACTTATTCCTATGTTTCTCCCTATTGGAGGTTTCGTTCATCTTTCTTTTTATTAACTGATTTTAATCACAATATAAATATTACATATGCATGCAGCATGCCTCAGATATTCATACTGATATTTTAACTTTAATGCGGACATCTTCCTCCGCTTAGAGAATTTTGACTGGATTTAATTAGTAAGATCTATGCAAGTGTATCCACTATTTAAGTATTTTGAGAAAACAGTTCTATCCTCTTTCCCTAGTTCTACCAGATCACAATTTCTTGAGTGCGTTACTGGTTTCTGAGTAACAAAGTAGACTGACCATTTTCATCTAAAATAACACTGACACTTCAGCTAATGGAGCTACTGTTTATTGGTTTTAATGGTATATCTATAATGATATATCAGCATTAAATTGAAAGTGGGAAAGATGACTTGAAGATACTTTAGGTTGTACAAGTTTCGTTGTTTTTAGCATAATTCATTTTCCCTCACTCGTTTGCTTCTTTTAGGACTACTTTGTTATGTAGAAACATTATTGTATATCGAGTCACGCAAACAGAAATTCATGTGACGGGAGTATAGTATACTACCATCTTTTATGGATTCTGAGTGTTTCTTGCAATGTACGTGTTGTGAGTTTAGAGATGCTTCAACAGTAGTCGGTCATGAGTTTAGTGTAAGAGATTTGGTTTCAGTGATTTAGAGGATTTGAAATTTCAAATATTGCATCCATTTCACCTTCCATAGTTTAAGCAACCAATGAAAATGCTGTTCGTTGGCCTAGACAGTCAACTTTTAGCCAACCGTATCTAGGGTTCAAACTTTGATCCACCTACTTCAGCCTGGGCGACCTAATTGCATTCTCAGCCCCCACAAACAGGTGTGGCTGATAGCTCCGGGTAACAACTGATTTCTAACAACAGTTTAGGTTGATGTGATCAACCACTATATTGTGGACGTTGTTCATAGCCCACCTGTTTGTCTAATGAATTTATTATTAAAACACAGCCTTGCTACATTATGAGAGCCAAGAGATGCACCACACAAAATGTCGCAATTTGTGCCAGGGCTGGGATACTGACCGGACACCCAGGTCGGAAAAGTGGTTGTCTTAAGAGGCTACCTCCTCTCCGACCCTTTGACTTGAAGTCTGGTTCACAAGCTAGTGGAGCAGCTTTCCCATGGTTTCTGGTGTCCAAAACAGGTTCGTACACTATTCGATTGTTTCGGATTCCTGGGCCGGTGTATACTATAGGGTTGGAATCAGGGTTTTAGAACTCCTGTTAGACCAGCACGCCCACCAGTCTGGTTATATGCGCCTAACATTCGCATTCACCATTTGACTTTTGCGGGGAATACTTGGCCGCTTGAAGGTAGTGAAAAAGACTTTCTTGACAGAGACTATGAACGCGTGGCCACATGAGAGGATATTGAGAGGAAAACCTAAGTCTATCCACTCTTCGCTGTACCACCTCGCTAATGATGACATAGACAACGAGAGTAAACAGTTATATTCTGTAGGATAAAAATCTGTACTAGGACTAGAATCTGTATTTCTACCTCTTGTGTACTAGTAAAGATCAGATGTTAAAACAACATTTTACTAACTATCTGTCTTTCTGGTTTCAAAATTCAATAATTTCCTATTGTATCTTTAGCGCAGACACAGAGTTTGGTTTACTGGACTAAAACTAGTCGGATTTTCAGTTGCACTTCCAAGTCTGTGTATAGTGTTTTTACAATGTCGACAGTTGAATATTATCATTAATCAGCGATATATTCTCTGTGCCTCTCTTCTCTCCCTCGTTATGGTGTTTCATGTGGATTCAGTGAAGCAGTCTGCTATATTTTTTCGTATCAAAATAATCATATTGACAGTATATTTAACGAAAAATTGCTCAGTTGAACGTGCAAATATTTGGTATACCCTTAGGATTAATTGTATCAACTTATTGTTAGTATTATTCAACAACAACCACTTGTAATTCCACACTGAGTTGGCAGTGAGCTACACTTATTGTGTCAGGGTTAGTTATACTACTCGGAGTGCCCGAACCTTGGTGCATGGAGCAGGGATTTTGAACCCATGGTCACCTGCTCACTAGCTGAAAGTCTAGTGACTAGATCAATGAGGTAAAGCCTCATGATTAGTCATGTAGAAAGTGATATCTCAATAATCATGATTAAAAGCAGAAAAGAGAGTAACACTCATTTTCTGTTTTACCTTGCAGGATTGGATTGAACTGTTATCTGCCTTAAGCCTTATCAATAAAGTAGAAGGCTAAGAAGAGGTGACGAATAAGAGTGTTCATTTTAAAACGCGATTAATCGTTAAATGTAGACTAAGTGGAAAAGCCAAATGTATTTTTCCAACCTTCTAATGGATTTGATTTTATCTTTGCATACAGTCAAGTCTTCCTGTGATTAGCTTGACTAGTATAGTATCTAAAGTTCTAGATTTAATAATAATGCGTAGACTAAGCGGTCCACGGGAGGAAAAACACGAGGGTATCAGGCAGGCTTTAGACCGCCCTTCGACAGATTCTGGAACATGGCCATGCTTACCGGCGTCTAACAATCGTTATATTTCTTGACCTAAAGGCGGCATACGATTCCGTCGACCAAGAGGTATTCAGGCAAAGTTTGGCTATGAAAGCAAAGGCCCAGAAATTACATTGCACTGATCATGCCACTGTACTCGAAATCATGCAGCCAGGTGAGAGCATATGGCGAGTTGTCATCTAAACTGGTGACAACTAGTGGTGTCCGACAGGTATGCTCACTATCCGCATTTCTATTCAATTTCATCATAGGTGTACTAATGAACTTAATCCTAAGTGACTTCAGCAACTCAGGGATTGACTTGTTACCAGGGTATAATCTCGTTGACTTAGAATATGTAGGTGAGATAGCCGTTCTAGGCGAGGACGCTGACAAAATAGAGCAAAGTCTTCTGAACACCTTGAGCTGCAATCTGCGAATGTTTGGCATCCGATTCGCTCCCGCCAAATGTGGGATGATGTTACAGGACTGGATTACATTGACTCCTAGTTTAGAAATAGGGAGTAAAGTGATAGAGCGTGTTGACCACTTCACATATTTGAAAAGTTGCATCAGCCTCAACGTGTTGATCAGTGACGAATCCTCAGCACGGATACAGAGGGCTAGTTTCGCATATGCCAGTATATGCCGACTCTGGCGTGGACATGATATCCGGCTGGCTGTCGGCCAAAGGACGTGTGTGCTGCTCAGCAGTCTTCGCCGTCCTCCTTTATGGCTGTGAGACGCGGCCATTAAGAGTGGAAGACATGAAAAGCATGGCTAGCTGTCTTTGATCATAGGTGCCTGCGTTCTATCTACTGTTTGAAATGGTATTGTAGGGTGAGCAATATTGAGGTTAGGCGTCGAGTGCTAGGTACGTGGGAGAGGAAATCAATATACGAGGCTGTGAATTTATATCGACTGAGATGGTTAGGACATGTGTTATGCATGTCTAACCATCGCCTCACTCTATGGGAAATGCTAGCTGATAAAGGGTCAGGTTGGAAAAGAGCTAGTGGTAGTCAAACCAAAACATGGACTCATCAGTCAATAAAATCCACAACGGTTAGTCACTCGGTGAATGCACGTTGTTAACGTTGGACTGAGTTTCACTTTAGAGAGACAAGTTAATGTATGAGAATATGTAAGGCCCTTTCTACTGACTGGAATTGAAGTAATGAAGGCAAAATAAAGTGTATTAGTTGTTACCCATTGATATTTATCACCCGACAGTATCAATTGAGCTTTTGGATGAGTTCTGGTGTAAATACTATCATTCATTGAAGTGCAGGTAAATCCGGTCCGTAAGTCCCCAGTATGACTTACCGCGAACTCCAGATTATGCGGTAAGTCACCACAGTGTTATTCTAGCTTATTAGATCATGCAACTATGAAAAAAGAAACGTTAAAATGAATAGAAGGAATGACAGATTTTGAATAGGAATATGAAGTGTGTTTCTTCCATTATCTCTAGCTGTTGACGTTTAACGTATCTATGAGCTACATTGCCTAGAAAGCGTGAGTGTCTTCAACTAAAAGACAGTAACTTCATGTTTACTGTCTTGGTCTGATAAACCTTAGTTTTCAGCAGTTAGTTTGTAGGAATTTGTTTTCTTCCAGTTTAACTACAGACTGATATCAGTTGAAGAACCATTGGAAACCGAGGAGTGCTGGAAAGGTGTGAGTATGGATGAGGAAAAATACCCGATGGTGGCATTGGCTGGTGGTCGCGCTGAAATCACAAATTGGTAGAAGTTAGAGTTCATGGACCATTGAGTCGGGTCCCAGTGGTTGAGTGGTCTACGAACTTGGCTTGTTATCGGAAGGTCCTGGGCTCAAACCCCAGTGGTGCGCAATGCTGGCGAGTCCCGAACTAGGACAAAACAGCTGTCCATTACTCCTTGTTTCTTAGTGGTTCTCTCACTGATTAAACTTGAAATCTTAATCTCTTTTTTTCCAGTTTTATGCCTGTTCCATTTGAATTTCAACGTCGAAGGAAATAGTGGTTAGGTGTTTGCAGCAAACTGCCAAACACTGTTGAAGATTACTCGTTACTGGAGTAATATATTTGCATTCATTCTGAGGGATTTTTTCAGACATCAACCTATCATAGCTCACTTAATTTTGAAATAAATGTTGTGGCTAGTGCTTTAAATTACACATAATATGAGAGTACCAGTATGTTTGGGAGTGTCATGTTTTTGCCTCTGTCAGGAGTTCAAGGTATTTAAAGTATTGTCAAGAGTTGTATTGCAAGACATTCAGAAGACCATATCTTATCAATGTGTTCGTCCAGTTGCTTGTGGGTTGGTAGGGGTGGATCTCTGAGTGGGACGTGGTTAATAACTGAGAAGTCGGAGATAAAAGGACTGTCCCCTTTTATATACATTTTCAGATAAGTTGGACAATAGTGAAAAGTGCATAT